CACTAGATGGATAATGATAAGTCTGCAGAGATGAGTGGTGTGTTTTGAACATGACACCCTTAAGACAGAGCCTCTATCAATGGAAACTGCGCTGCTGGGCTATTGTCAGAAAGCAACACAGCTAGTACTGCTTTACAACCACCATTTATAAACATGTATACATACAGATTTATAATACAAAAAAAAATTACAACATAAACTTAGTGACATCTGAAATTCATGATAAAACAAAGTAAGTCGCAGTTATAAGCATATGGCAAAACTCGGTCGTAGTTACATGTACATGGCATTATTGCAGGCCTTCAAGTGTAATAGTCTTACGAGTTGCGTTACATCACCTGCAATGCTTTTTAGTTAACAAATGATAGAGGTAAAAACGACTTATATATGTGTTAGTAGATATTATATAAATAATTAGGTTATCAAAGCTATGACTCTTCTTTGCATTCACTCACGGATTATTAGAAATAATTATTGTAGTAAAGTAGAACCAAAGAACTGGTGTAACAGAGTATAAATACACGATGTTTTAATAGACAGAAGAAAGCTTATTCCAGTGGTAGTTCAAGATATTGATATGCAAACCTCGACAAGGACATACCTCAAAAACACTGTATACTTTTTTTTTTTCTTTTTCGAAACAGGTACTATACTAAAGAACTAGCCCATTATGGGAAATAACAGTTTTATTATAAACTGCTGAAAACTGGAGCGTCTGTAAATGCTACACTGGAATAGAATAGAAAACTGGACACTGTCAAGTATAAAATAACAGAACTTTGCAATATGCCGTAACACTCAACTCAGAGGGGTTTCTGTAGTGGAACAGCCATAATTTATACGTGTACTTGTATACATGATCCTACGTGTATCTGTAGTGGAACAACGAGCCGTCTGATCGGTTGTTACAATGTTTAAACTGGAATCACTATCTTTTAAGCTATAGCTTTGAACATCAAAATTACCTCAAGAGTTTTTTTTATAGTTCATTTCTGTTCACAGTGCAAGGTGTACTTGATGTACAAAAGTTATTTTCTGATTGCGCAAAATACACATGTGAAAAGAGCGATCCTAGTTCCATTATTTCATATTGCTCAAAACATTATTATAGCAGTCTTGATTTGTAAATTGAGCCAAAAACAGTTATTTCAGAAAAGTTATTCAAACATACCAATATGAACACTTCAAATTAATCTCAAACAGAACCGTAAATATAAGAGGTGCCCGTTTCGAACAATTTATCGTTTTCATAGAACGATGCTCCTTAGAACCAATAATAAAGACACTTTCAATTTTGAGGCATACATTAAGTTTTACTATCATTAAATTAAGCAGATTCTCTCATGTTTTAAAGCACTTAAGTCATGGAGTACCTTACAATATTTAAAAAATGACGACTTAAAAAATCTTCGTAGTTTTATATTCGCTGACCTAAGCAACTTTTTGTCACTGATATTCCCTTTCTTAACTTAAAAATCGAACCACAGGAGAGCCTTTTTCAAATATTATGTTTTAAAAGTTAGAATATGTTCTTAAATACACGAGTTTAACTCTTAAATTACCGCGTTGTTTTTATATTATGTACTTGTGTGGCCCAGATATTGCATCACATTGAAAAATTCCCCAATTTTTTGTGTCAAATGCATGGGGAGATTCAGTAGCTATTAGTGGGATTAATTACAATATTGATGATATTAAAAACAAATAAAATATGGGTCATAGGGACCCTTTAATTAATCATGGACATACGAACGATTTGATGTATAACTCGTTTAGAAAAAGTATTTAAAAATCCCATTGGCCATTCTCAGGTTAAAAGCTCGAGTGATTTCTTGTATACAAGAACTTAACATTTCAATAGTATTTTGTAAGTTTCGATCCTGAAGATGGTGAGGTACCAGTTAAATATATATACCCATCTTCATTTCGAGAAGGTCTGCATTGGGTTTTTTTTTTTTTTTTTAACCTCGTTTTTTAAACCTTTCTTCCACTTGCATTGTTCACACGTTTGCTATGTTGTGACGTATTGTGTGAAGATAACTTCACGTCAAAAACTAGTTATGGTAAATTATGAGTAAATTGCGTCCTTTTTTCGTGTTTTGCTTTTCTAAGTATTAAATTCCTCATTTCCCTGTGAAAACTAAAAATATTCAAATAGAATCATAATCCAAACGAAACTGTTCTAGTTAAAGTGTCGGAATGGATTGTGTTCAGAAGCATCCGGACAAAATGTAAAAGTCAGCCATATTATTTCTGTTGACGCTCATTGACCTAAAATTGGTGTCTCATTTTGCTGTGTATTTCAGTGAGATACTTTGAAAACCAACTGTGATAAACGAGGTAAGATAATACAGTACCGTGGATATGATACAAAAGGTGAATTTGGACTATAAGATTTCATTTCAGGTAATACATAACATATGACAAGAATAAAATAGTCATATTCGCAGTATTATATTGTTTGGCCTCATTAGGCTCACGTTGACCTCTTCTCCCCTATTTCAATTCTTACTCAATTTTATTGCCTAGATATTTTCATGTTATGAAGATGCATTTATGTTAAAAGCTATTCGAAAATTCAAAAATATGAAATTGGTATCATAGCAAATGAGAAAATTCTAGCTTTTTTTTCTACTTTTAGCAGTAATAGATTGTTTTAGGAGATAATACTGTAAAAAAAATGTTCAAGTATAATCATAATCTACTAGAAATTATTTTATAGTCTTACAGTTAGGGTGGTTAAAGTATTGTTACGACAGCGGAAATCACGCGACGCTGGAAGCACGCGTGCTGGAGTTTCTAGCAGGATCATGACTGCTCCTGGCAAATTTAGTCTTTTCTAGGCGCCCTCTATTTTAGTATACAAGCCCGGCAAATAAATCGGAGATAATAAATGCAGATAGATAGAGAGATTGAAGATAGAGATAATCGAGTCAAGCCGCAAGTTAAGTGTGTAAATCACTGTGGTTGATAGGGGGTGTTTAAGTTAAAGTGACTATGGAAATTATGTGTATTGCAAAGTTCTATTGAGAAAGAATAAACTAGTTTTATTTAAGAAAGGACTTGTATCGCTGAAGTTCCTCGGGAAGAATTTCTACGTAACAGTATGTACAACAGCACCCTCTATGGACGGACAAAATTTAACTTCCGCCATTTTGTTCTTCTTGCCCCATTGATCTGAAATTGGTATTTAACCCCCCCCCCCCCATACTCTATAAATCTATATACCCAAAAGCTCTCTCTCGAAATTTAAAAATTTAGGATTAAAAAATAATATTCTCCTAAGGTTTAGGTTATATCATGAAACTTAAAAGAACGTTTCCCAATTTTTATAATAGTGTGTTTTAAAATATCCT